AAACCGGCCTTTCACTTTAATGCCCTATGTTCCCAGAGTGAATCAAGGATTCTGAAATCGTTCTTTGTAAGCGTGGGACGCGTTTTTATCCTCACGCTCAATCTTCTCTCTTATCTGGGATTACTAGCGGCTATTAAACAAGAATGAGGATGAGGCTGAGGTGACCACAATATGTGGTCTAGTAGATATCATAAATGTTGATGGTTCTTTCAACCTGATGACGATTCATGAAGAAATGTACTCTGAAGTGAACAGATATCCGTACAATATCCATAATCTGAAAGTCAGTCCTCTGCTCATTACTAGGTTCAGAATTTCTGCTCTGTGGTCCTGATGAAAAGTTGTGGATCCCACTATATCAGGTGTGACGCGGATCCTTATTGGTGGACTGGATAGCTATCGGTTCATGTCACAAACTGGCAGAATTTAAAGTATGCGGGCAAGTGAATTTCAAATCAGTATCGTCTCTTATTCTGAAGGTCCTGGGGGTTGTCCGTGCTCACCATTGTGGAGTTCCAGACTAAAACGAAACAACAGATGTCAGGTCGTCTTTGGTACTGAAAGTTTCTTTAGAATATTCCAGCTCATGATGTAACATTCAATAAGACCATCCTCTTTTTCTTTGCAGACATGCCATTATTTGAATACTCTGTGAAGAATTTAAGCAGTTTTTAAAATTTGTCGCAGTGATACTGTAACAAAGATTCTTAAAAGGTAAAACCAGCTGTGTAACATAAAAGAAGCAGTTGAGGTTAAATTTAGAACTCGAGTAACATGTAAATAAAAGACATCTGAAATCTTCGATGAAGGTACAGCTGACCTCCATAGACTACAAAAAAGAAGATTGGGGAGAAATTGGCCTTTGAGAGCAATATCAATCAAAGGCGCTGATCCACTTTAACACATAGTAGACATCAGGACTTTTGACTGGTTATATAATCACAAAGTAAGAATTTCGCCCATCTATATTTTACGAAAAGTTACTCTTCGGTTAGAGTAATAATTTTTAGAACTGAATTTGAACTTTCCTGTTGACTAATTGCTCCGAAGTGCTTGACCTCAGGTTGATATGTTCGGCTCCATGTGCAGCTATTTCGATGACTTCTGGCTATTCAACTTGAAGTAAATCGGTAGGTATTAAGTAGAAATGGAGTTTAAGATGCGTATTTCACCCTCCTATTTTGGACTAGTCATCTGGATGCTCATGCATTTCCCAGTGAGTCAGTGACGATGTCCCCACCGAGGTTCGAACCCAATGCCCATAGTTTCAAAGGTCAAAGCGTTATCCCCTAGACCAATTGGGAAATGATAGCCGCTGCTTTTGAAACGGGTATCAGCAATAATAATTTAATTCAATTTCTACTTCGGCCTAATCAATGGACGGAAAGGTCCAAATGGAATTAAATAATTACTTACACCCGTTGCCAGGGGAAACGGCTATCACGGCTCAATTGGTATAGTGGATAGCGCTTTGGCGTTTGCAAATATGGGAACTATGTTCCGACCTCAGTAAGGGGGGTGGGGGAAACTTCAATCACTGGAACACGCAGGTATATCCAGTTGACAAGCCAATCCAAAATTGGTGGAGTGAAATTCACTGTTAGTCACCGTCCATCAGTTTACCTCAAGAGAGGTATCAAGTGAGATGTTTTAATATGTGAGCTGGAGTTCATGTGATGAGATATATGAGAATTCACCGGAATGAATCTGTTAGTAAGCCAGTGTAACAGAATAAATTGGTTCTGTGCTTATGATACCACGAAAACTAACATTCAAACATGTTGAACGATTATTATTCACTGCTTAAGTTATTATTTAGCTTTTTTTGATAGCTTTATTAGAAGATGGAGACTATCTGAAAAATGTGATGTATTAGCGCTATACATTTCGAACAATCTGATCACACATTTACTTGTCAAGTCAATATATATAGAAAGGTTAAATTAAACAAAGTGAGAGAAAACGGAATTAAGAATAATTAACACAAACGTTTGGTAATCCAATCAAATAAGGATTACCAAGGTAGGTTAAGAGTAATGACAAACTGTTTTTGAATACACAAGGGGGGCTTAAGTCTATGAATAGCTATAGCCTCAGCGTATTTCAGTAAACGCCCTTGACCGTTTTTATAGATGACCTTAAAGGCTGAGTTAACATCAATCTTATGGTTCATCTCGATTAGATGTTTAGCTATAGACGAATTTGGTAGTCTGCCACCTGCATCTATTAGCTTGTCACAATTCATCTGTTTTTCTAACCATTTTGGGATATGCTCTCCCACCCTCACGTGCAAAGCGCGATTACTCCTCCCTATGTATGTATGTCCACACACACACAAAAATTGGTAAATTGTATGGGATGTGATATAATCACTTGTGCACTTTTGGGGTTTACAGTGAAGCATATTTTTGGCTTTTTCCACAATTACAAGCTGGGCTGCATAGTAGGTTCTACGGATGATTGAATTCAACCTTTGTCTCACAATCCTACTGTTTATTTCCCCGTTATATGGTAATTTGATAAAAACCTTTTTCTTAGGGACGGTATGGATTGTAGGTTTAGAGGCTAGTTGACTTCTACACCTGTTTAAAAATTTCAAAGGATATCCGTTTTCAACAAGAGTATCCATTAATATTTCGTTTTCTCTGTCCATAACATCAGCCGTGCAAATACGCTGAATCCTCTTGAATAGACACTTCACCAAGCCCCTCTTATACTGTAATGGACAGAAGCTGTGAAAATTAAGGTATTGCCCTGTCCAAGTGGGCTTTCTGTAGATAGACCGTCTTATTGAGCCATCATCTCTTCGACTCAGAAGTATGTCTAAAAATGCTAGCTGGTTGCGACTTTCTTCCTCACATGTAAGACTAATATGATTTTGTACAGAGTTAAGTCTGTCTAATAGGCGACTCGCATCTTCATGATCGTCACATATCAAAATGATATCATCTACATATCTCCTATAAAAGGGCAATTTTGAAATTAAATCAAGGGATAAGTTTTCAACATAAGACATGTACACGTCCGCTAACAAAGGTCCTAATGGACTCCCCATAGCAACGCCATCCACTTGTCGAAAATGTTCGCCTTCAAACGTGAAATGGACGTTGTCAGTACATAATAATAATAAATCTTTCAAATAAGTTAAAGGGAAAGGGAATGAAAAACAACTAGAAGAAATATAGTCACAAAGAATATCAACAGTCTTAATCAATGGTACATTAGTAAACAAAGAATTAACATCAAATGAATACATTTTCCTATCTTTTATGTTCATATCTACAAGACAGTCAACAAGTTCAAATGTATCTTTCAAAGTAAACTTACATAATTCATTGCGTACTGGACTTAAAATATCAGCTAACCATTTTGCTAGTTTATGTGTAGGAGAGTTACACATTTTCAGATAGTCTCCGTCTTCTAATAACGCTATCAAAATTTATATAAGGGACTAATTGTGTTTTAAATATTATTTAGCTGACTACTTGTATGTTATTAAGTAGTATACTATCGTGCCAATAAAATAATCAGGCGTGCGTTTTTATAATCTTGATTCCCATTGACACAGAATAGTGATAACAGTTAAAATTAAATTTGATATTCACGAAAAACACCCATCCAGACAAGAATATAAGAACAAAAGAGTTCAGCGAAGAGTCCATTTTTGGAGACGAATTTATTCACTTAGTTGTACAGTCGCATTTGTATGCAATTATTTTGTGTGTGTGTGTGTGTTCAGTAGGTTTGTTAAACAAGAATAAAAATTAGTTAGGGTTATAGTTTATATCGTCAAAATATTTCAAAAGATGTGATGAATAATCTGGTGGGGGGCTAGAAGATTGGTAAGCATTGACAAGGGTTGCGTAATAGGAAAGACACCCATAAACATAGGATGTTAATGAAAGAGCATGGAGACACCTATCCAAAGGATATTATGTAAATGTAATAGGTAGAAAGAGTAAATAAAGGGTTAGTTAAGAAGAAATATTACTAAGAAGCCATACAAAAATTCCAAAAAGGCATTAGATGCTTGGAGGCAATTGGCCACAGGGGAGCTCTACTTCATCTAGGTTTCGTGAAAGAGACGTGGCAAGGCTCAGTGATAACGTCTCTGACTGCTGCTGCTGCTGTGGGTAAGGCAAGTTCAAATCTCAGAAGGAACATGAGTTCCTATATAGGTTACAGATACGCCTTGCTGGCCGGTGAGTGCCAACTATCACGAAACTTAGATGAGGTAGGGACTCCTGTGACCGATTGCCTCCAACCATCTAATACCAAGTTATCGCTAGTAATAATAACAACTGAAAACGAATTATGGTCTTGATATGATTATGAGCAGTAATAAATTGTCCTCGAAACGTCGTCATCCGTCAGTATTACTGTATAACACTGTGAGACTTTGTCAAAATAAATTTTACCCATGATGGAAGTCTTTATAAACAAAGTAGTGGCACTTGGAACTATATCCATTTTAGAAGGAGAGGATGGGTAAATTTCTTCTACGTACATAAATCAGGATTTCCTATCCAGTGCAATGCAAAGTATGCGGAAGCTTATCGTTTTTGGGAGGCTTCTTTTTACCTTGTAGGTAACTTTGAATGAATTCTCCTTAGACATATTGAGTGACCAGTGTTGAATATATGTTCAGTTGTGGCACTTCTTTTATTGATCCAATTTTATCTTTTCGTAGCATTTCTATTCCTTTACGTTCCCAGTAGTGAAACATAGGGCGCCTTCAAGCTAGAAACTTCAAGTTTCTGTAGCAGTGGTGATTATTTTTACAGGATGGGGTTGCTAGCCAGCCTCATGTCCAACCTCCCCTTTTTTACCAGACTTTCTGCCGGTTTAGAGAGGTAAAGTAGTGCGTCCAGTGGCCGGCGATTGAACCCCGGACCACCTGCGGCGTGGTCGGCGAGCACTCTACCGCTGTGCTACCGACGCATCTTTTCATTGGCTAAACAAGATAATTAATATTCTTTAACTTTTTGATATTGTTTCAGGTTCAACAATTGGTGAATCAACAATCACTTCAGGTACATCAACTCTCCCAGTCAATAATAAACACTTACAAATTGACAGACGAACACCATCTGTTTCTAAATTTGAACATACTATTATTTATACTCCAAATAGACAGTACAAAAGAATTGATTCCAGTGAACAGTATCGTTCATATTCAGCTCCAAAAATCTATCTAGAAGATAATTCAAATATGGCGAATATTGATTCTATAGTGAAATGCCATGGCAATGATGATTGTGATGTTGATGCAGATCATTCACGAATACGAAACACATTAAAATCTTATCACCATCACCATCATCATAATCGACATCATCAGCAGTCACATAGACCATCTGATGGGAATTATAGCGTTCGATCAAGTTATGAAATCGAGTTAAACAAATATAGAAGCTGTAACAATAACAATATTACAGATAATCGAATACCTCATTCACGGTACAATACCCTGTCAAATTCATTCAGTCGTAGAATTGATAATAACGATGCTTTAAAACTTTATTCATCTGTAAGATGTCATTCAAATCCATTCAGAGGAGGAGGAGACTACGATCATCAGAATACACTGGACAGTTATGATTCCCGCATGAATAACGGATTAACTGCCTCGCCTAGACGTCCACCGCTACTCCGCAATTTGCACAATCACCTGAATTTATCACCATGGACACAGGAGCCGTCAATATTTCATTCTATTGATAGTCATGAAAAGAATTCCCTGTCAACACGTTCCCTATGTCCTGGTATACCATCACAGAAATGTGTTGAACAGACTGCAGAAATTGGTTTATACAAGACAGCAATGTTTGTGATTCCATCACCGAATTCAACATCTTTGCCAAATGTTCAAAATATTAAAAATACCCTGGAAGAAACAGACTATAATCGTTCTTTACGTCATAAACGTCATCGTCATGTCCATAGTCATAGTGGTGGTCATCGTCATCATAATTCGCATAGTCATCATAATCACAGAGAATGCTGTGATGGTGATGATGATGATGCAATGATTAGTAAATCGTGTAATAGTAAATTACGTACTTACGTGTGTAGTGGTTGTGGACGTAAGACAACAAAACGCAAAAAAGTCAAATATTTACCGTCATCTTCTCATTCATGCATTTCTTTGGATAAATGTTCAACACCACATTTCATCAGTTCAGCATTTAACACCAGCAACATTAATAACAACAATAACACTAATAGTAATAACAATAATAATAATAATAATACTGCCAACTCTCGATTGGACATCGACGATGTATACGACTCCACTGTTTTCCATTCATCTAGACAATTCACAGACGACAATCGATATTATGCTTCACCAGTTAGAAAATCACTCAGTTATAATAAACGTGAAGATATACAGCCTACTGCCGACTACATCAGTAATCATAGTAACAGTAATACAAGTCTAGACAAAATAAAATCTTATGACTATTTGCCTAAATGCTCAAAGTCGTTGAATACAATCTCTCGAGCAGATTGTAATAAAATTGTTGTTGACATTAAACCAAGGCAAATGAATGAGGCGGATAAACAACAACATATAACCCAGTGGATACAGATTGGGACACTGGGAGATGCAACTAGTTCACCGACTAGATTACCACTCCAGACGAATGAATATCATGAAAGCGATATGACTGGACTACAGCAGTCTGAGAATTCTGATTATGATGTTTCTATAGTTGTTGATCATTCTAATGAAGTCAACACCGGCTGGAGAAATTCTTCAATAGTGCATAGTCGTCAACAAGACAATCGGCATTTGACAGAGAAAGTTGTCAGTCAACAGAAACACTCACCAATACCACCAGAATCACCATCGCCATCACCTCAACCGGCACTGCCCGAAAACAACATTTACAACAAGATAATCATAAGAAAGACATGAAATCTAAGGTGGAGATAATAAAACATATAGCCAACAGTCAGCTGAAGGGTGTACAAAGTCAAAACATCGGTGAAGATGATATGGTACGAAGTCGTAATAAATCCAGTTGTACAAATTCTTCTATTAATGAAATTAAACTAGAGTTTGTTAACAATGCAAATCACATTGGGAATAACAGCGATGAAGGTGGTTACATAAATAATAATTATGAGAGAAGTAGTCTGATAAGCGCACAACCAACTCAATTGATTCATATGGAGAGAGATCTTGTGAATGGCAATAAGTATCAGGATAACAATAATAATACTGAGAAGACGACCTCTTCTGAAACACTTGACTCAAACATATCTCAATCAAATCCAATCGGTGGGGCTAACATTGATATTGAACGGGTTATCACAATTCAGAGTTCTAAAGTACGCAGTAATAATAATAATAATAACAATAACAATATTAATAATCATAAAAGTACAGATAATAACTTGACACATTTTAAAACATCCCAGGAAACAGTGTCTTCAACTCTTAGTCACAATAACAACAACAACAATAATAATAATAATAGTAATTACTCTGATGAACCAGACAGATCGATATCATCACCTCCAATTTTAGCGCCTAAACCAAAAGCCTGTAGTACTGCTGAAAAGATATTACTAAAAGACAAGAAAAAAAAGAAAGCCTCCACACTGACAACATCAGAAATACGCTATATGAATAGTAAGATATCTAGTAATTTATCAAGTGTTAAAGATATCAGTAGTTTATTTTCAGTGGGAAATTCAAACAAAATTGAACAGTTGAATGATTCCACCGAGGTTGCTACAGAATTATTTCCAAATTTAATTCGAAAAAGGGATACACCAATTCCAAATGTAAAAAATTTAGTTAGCTACTTTTCAGAATTAATAAAATTGCATACAGATGAAGAGAAACACTGTTCACCATCGATGTCGAATAGTGTTAATAATCTTAGCCGGCTAAAGGGATTCGACAGTGAAATGACATTGAATCATCGACATGTCTTACGTGAAGAGGTTGAGGAAGGCGAGGTGATGAGGGGAGAGGACGAGGAAGAGTATGAATTAGATATACCAACTAGTGTATCACCATTTCTACTTCATCATGAAACACCTACTGCACGTGAACGTCGGTTACAAGCCGTAGAATCATTGAGACGTCGTTCAACACTCCATATGAAATATGATTTATACAGAGTATTTCCACCAGGATATAGTACAGCGTCATCATCATTCCTGGAGAGATTAGGTCATCGAGTAGCGGCTGAGAATATGACTGATTGTTCAAATAACAATAATAATGATAATCACAATATTAACAACAGTAATGGTAATATTTGTAGAGGTCTTGATAACGACCCTATTCGTCGACCACTTTCTGCACCGAAATTCCAAGTACGCATGCAAGCAAATTTACAGAAAGACTCAACAGCTATTGCAGCTCAATAAATTCGATTAAAGTTCTATCAACCCCAACCTAAAAGAAAAATGATTCCGAAGTGCACATTCATTAAAAGACTACAGGAAGTTATGATTTGTTTTGGGGGATAAATGCTATATCAATCAGTGATTTTGTCGATTCCCTTTTTTCTCTCTCTCTCTCTGTCTTGTGTTTGTTATCCTCCCTTATTTTATGCCTTTTTATGCAAATCAACCAATCAGTTCATTCTATTAACGTGAACATCCTTCTCTTCTTTTTAATTTGTTTTGTTTTAATACTTAATTTTATGGCGCTATGTTTGAATAAAACGGTACAGAAATATGCCTTATATTCAGAAAGGTGTCTTCAACCTTTTTATTCATTATTTTGTATTTAAAGTGGAATGTGGGGCTTCAAACTTTCGAACTTTTAGTAAGCATTGTATTGCTTTTCACAGTGGCTAGGACTCTCGTCGACCATGCATATGGTCCGGGGTTCGAGCCCCTTCCGGCGCACACCTGATATCTATGGTCGGCCTGCAAAATTTGGGCTACCGATATCCATGCTGAAAATTCCATACATGTACCAAAAATACAGTGTGGAATCAAGCTGTAAATCAAAAAATCAAAAAAAAATCCCGCCTCTCTTCTTCCTTTGCCAGTAAATTAGATGTGGTTTAACGAGAGTATCGTCTGTGAATCGAATCCCTATATCGCCTGCCCCTTGTAACCGAAGAGCATTCTATCATTCGACTTCGGATGGAAATATTACTTGGGAAGGGGTGCATGATTGTAGCATACTACCCTTTTCAGACTTTGTACATAATCGTTAGGTCGCGCACTATCTCGTCACCCTTGGAAGATGAAGTCATGACAACGCCTTCAGAGCACTTAACAGGCTGAGTATCCCTTACAGGTTTTATATTAAGCTAACATGTCTTTGGTTAGAAAGAGATAAAATGATAAGTATATATATATAAATACAAATTATATACATTTCAGCCCTGTTTATGAGAAGGTGGTTGTCAAGGTACTTAACCCTAAGTTTCTATTATTTGCGAAAACACTCCGAATCGACAATTACTATGGACGATTATAGACCTTAACTCAAAAACACAAGGACTTGTAATATGTTGTATTGTTCAGCAATTAAAATCGATATCGGTTTAAAGTCTATAAACAAGTGTTTTACAAGAAATGTACCGTACTTTTATTCGTATTATTTCGTCTTTTTCCAACTTGAACACGATTGAATTATTCGCGCCTTCATGTTGCCCGCCAATGGCGACCAAGGCCAATAAACCAACGTTCAATGTTCACATTTATTTAAAGAGGTTGTAGATTACTTTTCAGAAATCCAGAATGCGCGTTAGGCTGGAAAAACAGGATTTCTCCTAGATACACAGATACTAAACGGATGGATAACATTAATCATAAACAAGTTAGAAATTTCAAATTGTGAGGCATTTGGGCTAATTGCCAATTTGAAGCCGTTTCGACAATGTACATCACTGAGATGAACAGTGAAGATTAACTTGAAGAGGACCCGCATGAAAAAAGGAGTTAGAGATTAGAATAAACCGGTTTCAAAAGATAGTGGAATATAAGTCAAAACATACAGAAAAAGTACACTTTATTACGATTCCTGTAGACAAAACGGAATGCTGTCACACTGAATGAGGCTAACAGCGTACTAAAATTTAATTGGTGCATGATGACTAGCAGTGGAATTCTGGATAAAGCGCATTTCGTCAGCTCGATGTACCTGCATTTCCCAGTGAGTGATGATGTTCCTGCCGAGGCTCGAACCCAGTTCCCATAGTCTCAGACGCCAATGAATTATCCACTAAACCACTTGGGCGACGAGATCCGCCTCTTGTGCAACGGGTCATGATAATTTAATTGAATTTGAGATTTTCCCGTCGATTGATTTGACCGAAGTGCTCGGTCTCAGGCTGACATGTTGGCTTCTTATCACAGCTAGGACGAAATGCGCATCATGGATTCCACTGCTAGTCACCATCCACCAATTAAATTCTAATCAAATGCCCAGAAATCGTTGAAGCATCTGCACAAGAAGCCGATATGTCAACCTGAGACCGAGCACTCCGGTCCAATCAATCGACACGAAAATCTAAAATTCAATTAGGCGTATGAAAATGATTATATCTATACTACTTATTTACAGTAAGTAGTATGAATTATTTCTCTTCATTTCTTGCATTCTGAGTGCAAAATATGGAAGGCTTCAATGTTTCGAAGTTTCGTGACAGCGATGGTGTTGTTAGAGTTGTTAAACTTCCTTCTTTTCTAGGTTGATTAACACTTAGTAGTCTAGGCGTGATTTAGGATTGTATCTGGCGTGAATCAATACCAATAACGGGAACTACCGATACACAGTATAAATTAGAACAACGAAGTCATTGACAATATATTCATACAGTTTATTAAGAGAAATAGTTAACTTCAGCGACAATCTAAAATACAGCCGGCTGTGTTATACTATAGAGTCAATTAGGTGAGTAGGATACATGCATATTAAGGATGTCAGTTACTGTCAACACAACAAGTTGGTGAAAAGGAAGTGGACATTTTAGTGAGAAGCTTTTGTTGTCCTCCTGGAAAACATCTTCATCAGTGATATTTTCAGCATGAAGAAGTCTTCCATGATTATACTTGGAGGAAAAATATTCATCTCCACTGGTAGCCTTGTCTGTAATCGTTTATCTCCGGAGATTTCCTGGCGACTCTGTTGACTTGTATTTATTATTATTATATCATTAGTATTATTACTCCCTCGGGTTCCAAGTGGAATATGGAGGCTTCTAAGATACATCTCCACTATTCAGCTTTCCCTTGATTGCGAATAATCTCTCATCTCCTATTCGGACGATCGCCTCTATGTTACCCGAAAAGTGACGCCCCAATTGTCGTTTCACATTTGGGTTCAGTTTGAGTGATGGCCTAGCACGCTATAACATTTGACGGCCTCCTGAATGAGTGCCCAATCCACCACCATTTTTTGTTTGACTATGACTTTCTCGACTTAAACTTCAAAACACCAGTACTTAAAGAAAGTTGTATTATTTGGCAAGTACAAGTCTATACACAAATGTTTGCAAATAAATTCAGTGTACTTTTATTCGTATTCTTTGGTCTTTCAACTTGTACAGGACTGAACCATACGCGCCTTCGAGTTGCCCGCCAAGGTACCAAGGTCAATGAACCAACGTTCAGTGTTCATATTCCTTGACACCTGTCTTCCCTGGGTGTGTCTTCAGCCAATTTATTGGCTTTTGATTGCAAGTCTTCAAGCCTGTATGATATCAGATATAAGTCATCTGCAAAATCCAGATCTTCTAGAATCTTCTTAGTCGCCCAACGTATTCCTTTCTCCTCACTCCTCAGAGTCTACTACAATTCTGAGTAGTATTAGTGATAATAGGCAACCATGTCTTACTTCTGTCTTCGCTTCAATAGCTTGGCTGGATTTTCCGTTATTGATCACCTGACACATGGCAGGTATTGTCATATGGCTCTTGAATGGGGGTGATAAAGATTTGGGGCACTGCACGTCACTGTCGAAGGCATTGTCGACTTGTATTGAGATTGATCATTTCGATGACCTGATATTTGATCTTTGGATCGTGTGACTTATTGTTTATTGGTTAATAAATTTGAAATATATTTACGGGTCTTTTCATTACAGATTGATCTAAGTACCTAACTTCCAGGGATTCTCTGGCAGTTTGTGTTCCCTCTGTTAAAGTTGTTCACATTTTTCCGTTTGAACTAAGACATTTAATAGATTCACATGGCACTTCAAAATGGTGCCCCAATTCTTAGTGAAAATTAAAGTCTTTTAACCAGATGAGTAAATCACATGAATGACTACAGGCATAAGTCAAAATGCAAAGATTCCAGGCAGATGAAATCCCAAGAAAAGAGGAGAATTCCTAGAAGTTTGATACCCATTCAAGTGGGTAATAAGTATATATATATATATATATATAAGGCGAGATTAATCAGGAGCTGGTTTACAGGGATTTCATTGGTTACAAGACTTCATCATGAGCTGGCATTGGTTAGATAACCTTTGGAAAACTACCATTGGAGTACTGGACAGTTGTTTCGTCAGTTACTAAAGAGTAAAAAATAATACTGAGAGGCCAAGAAATAACATCAACGAGATATCAACATCGATGCAAGTGAATACAATCATATTGAAACTTACGAACACACAGCTAATCATGGATTTTAAATGCGTAATCATATCCCACGTGAAAATATATCCCCTGTACATCTAGCTGATATTATAATTTTCGCAAGGATTTCATTCTAGAACCGTAAGAATGTGAAGAAAACTAATCAGAAAGAATATTCTTTCTTCATACTGACTAAATGGTCTGTGGTCCAAAGTATTTAAGGAGATCGGAATAATCACAGTTTCATAGTATTGATGTGATTTATTTATTATTTATATTTTTGATTACAGCTTGATTCCACACCGTATTTTTGGTACAAGTATGGAATTTTCAGCATGGATATCTGTAGCCCAAATTTTACAGGCTGACCATAGATATCAGGTATGCGTCAGCAGGGGATCGAACCTCGGACCACGTGCATGGTCAGCGAGAGTTCCAACCACTGTGCTACCGACGCACAGTGAAGCTATGTAGAGTTCTATTTCTTCACAAACTTCCCACTTGATTCCGATTGCCTTTATGTGATCTAATACTCAGTGCGTTTGTGGGACAACGGTAGAATGCACTCCAACCACGCCTAACGTAGTCAGGAGTTCAGTATCCGGCCACTGGACGCACTCCTTTACCTCGCTAAGCCAGTAATACGACTGGTATAAAGAGGGAAGGTTGGGCATTAGGCTAGCAACTTCATCCAGTAAAAATAAACACCACTGCTACCAAAACTTCAAGCCTCTAGCTTGAAGCCCTATGTTCCACTGGTAACTTTGAAGGAATAAAAAGAATCTGATACTCAATAATGGCTTATATATCATCCAATGGTGTTTG